ACCCGATCTACTAGTACGTGTATGTGCGGTTTACCAGCCCCAGACCACTTCCGACCACGAGGCAGAACACATTGATGGGTTGCTCAAAAATATTGTCCATGTTTACAAAGAGCTGCTCCACTAACACTATGGAGCGGCCCAACCCAAAAATATTGGCCATGTGTCGTTGCTAGGACGACCGGCCAGTTGCTACGTGACTAATATACACGCCGCCACTAGGTCGCCACACCCGACCAGTTTGAAATCGATAGGATTACGTCTTTGGTATTAACATTTCCTAATGTTGACCTCTGACCACCCCACATTTCCGCCCCATCAGCCCCGCCCCGACTTACTACCGGTGACATAAACGGACGACAACATTTCAACGACATGGGGATGTTTCGAAAATAACCATTTACTCCAATATCAAAACAGCTACGGTAAAAATAAAAAGACGTGCATCATCCCGGACATAATGCAACACCACATGCGAAATTACACAAAAATGCGACGTACGGAAGAATGCGTTTTGGCTGCGAACATCTTCCAAAAAACTTGGCATCTCTTAACCATGGGCAAAAACATCTGGAACCACTTATAAAAACCACCCCGTATCTGCATGAACTTTTACCCCCCCCACTGCTATTCCAAACAACGCGTTTTTCTGGACCATTCCAATTCGCCTCGTAATTGTAGGGGTGCGTCTGCAATATTACATTGACCGCGAAAGCAGCAACGGCAAAAATACACATTCGTGCATCAACACGGGCATGCCCGCAGACGGCGTATAAAATTGCGTGCCGATTACACAAAGAGAACCCAGTGTTTTGACTGCGAACACGAAAAATCAGCCGATCACAACACTCCGTCCGGAGGTCCTGACCTCCTTCACGGAGTAATAAGTTATTCATTCTCCACATAACCTCAAAGTGGTGATCTCCAATCTATGTCTTTCATTGTCTGTCAACTTGTGCCCAAAGGCATTATATACTATATAATGCTTGTATAGTGTCAAAGAGGTAAAGTACATGTAATGTAATAGTCTAAGAGAACATATAACTTATAATACTAATGTTAGTTACTTTGCTATTATGGGGTTTATCTTCTTTGAAGGCAGTGGATAACAAATAGTCCCACGTTCTACATAATGAGTGGGTTGTGTGGCGTCTGTGTGGTGTAGTGGATATCTAGCGCCCGACTGTCAAGCAAGAAGACCCAGGTTCATTCCCCAGGGTTGGACCCTGACATGTGCGGACATGCACCCAGACGTTGTGCCCATGGGAAAGGCACTTAACACGTATTTCCCCCCTCAGTTAGAGGGATCCTGGGCCCTACTAGGGTTTGGGTTGGCGTTAAAAAGAGCATCCAGCCATAAAAATCCTGCTTCAAAAAAAAGACTTGTACTTGGTGCAAGCACGTCTAACCCCCGGTTGGGGAAAAATGACGTTAAATTCGGTTTAAAAAAAAAAAAGTTTTTGAGATACTGAAGAAGGATGGAGGATGAGAATGAAATGTCCAAAAGTAATCTCCATAATTTATCCAGTAGTATAGAGTGTTGAATTGTCTTTGAATATTTGTGGATGTGAACTAGCTGTTCCCCCCCCCCACAAACACACACCTGTCAGCCCAACGTGCAGCAGGATACAGACATCCTCCTGGAACCTGGCGGGGCACCTGGTGGTATAGCCGGTCACCTGGTCAAACCACCTGGCCAGCTGCACCCGCAGCTCCTCCAGCTGTGACATCCAGGCATCCAGCAGGCTCAGGAGGCTGCAGAGGGAGACAAAGGCCGTGTTTAAACGGAATCACCCAAGGCAGTTTACATGTGGTTTACCCCGAAGCCGGTTTCAAGTGGCTCCATCTGAACGCTCCAAATCACATTGAAAGCGCCTCGATCCCAAGCCACTTCTAGAGGTGGTTTCGAATCGGTTTCCCCGCATCGCGATTTGCGTCTGAACGCAATGTGATTTAAATGTAACTTCGCCTGGTCATGGATTACGGGGTGATATTTCTTTATTCATATGCAATACCAACTTGGCAGCAACTTAAAGAGCAGTAATGGTCAAATAATGTGTCCGTTCTAGGGCGAGCTTCAATGCCTCTGGCGGGACCACGTCGGCATTCGGCCGAGATACGCTGGGAGGGGGCATCAGCAAGCAGGTCGTTGACCTCTGACATTAATAACACGCCACATTGCGTGTTATCATCAAACAGCAATAAATGTAGCTCAAGCGAATTGTGATCGGACACGGTTTCACCAGATGTGAGGAATATGAGTTACCCGAATCGCGGTTTGGGTGACTCCGTTTAAACACAGCCAAACAGTTATCTTTATTTGTAAAACAATGCCTGAAGGCTAAATTGCTAATATACAGTGTCAAATAAAGTAAAGTAAAGTAACAAGGAACATACAACTACTGTCTTATCAACTTATACTAACATTACATGAACTTAGTTTGCTATGATTTTGGAATTTGACTTCAGATCTTCAGATCTGGCCCACTAGAAGGGGAATAGCCTTGCCTGTGGTCAGGGCAATAAACTACATTTTTTGATCAGGCAACATCTAGGTGTTAATAGCCTTTGACGATTCGATCTTTGGTGGGGAAATGCATACAGACTGGACAATTTGAGGTGGTCACTTGGGCAAGTTTGACTGTGTTATGGAAACATAAGTCTGATCCACGAATACCTGAAGCTGAACTTGTCCAGCTCTGTTCTAAAGAGGTCGAGGGGAGATGAGATGGGGTCCACCAGACAGACGATGTACCGGTCCATACACACGCTGGACAGGGTGGGGGATGTACTCAGCTCTGATATCTCCTGCAGCAGGATAGTCACAACACAATGCTGAACAATAGACAAGAAATAAATGATGAATTCAGTTCAATTAATCAGCATTGCACAGTGACACACATATAATGTTGCCTGAATAACATTGATATTTACAATATTGAAATAAACACATATACCTAACTAGAGAAGTAACATTTGCAAAGCAAATGCATATTGATTAATTAATGTTTACCTTCAGACATGGTCTGCTCTAATTCTTACTCAAACACATTCACATGCATTTACTACTAGTATATGGTGACAGGAGCAGAGCAGAAAACGAAGTTGCAACATTATGTAACCCAACACCTCACCTGTACCTCCTCCCCCTGTGGTTGTAAGAGTCTGTAGTAACCATGTAAACCTCACCTGTACCTCCTCCCCCTGTTGTTGTAGGAGTCTGTAGTAACCATGTAAACCTCACCTGTACCTCCTCCCCCTGTTGTTGTAGGAGTCTGTAGTAGCAGGCTGACCCGCCCTCCCCCAGCCCGATGTCCAGGTTAGTCACACTGCCACTGCTGGCGTGCAGTAGGCCCCGGCTCAGCCGTTTCACCATGCTGGCCCGCAGCTCCACCTCATTCTCTGCCTTCATGTTGGTGGCCACCACAGACAGGCTGAAGTTGTCCCCGTTAGGGTCAGGCTCTGGAGGGTCGGCAGGGTCAGCGGAGGAGGAAGCCTCATTAGAGGACTGCTCCTGGGAATGTCTTCTGGGAGGAGGTTTTCGGTAAATAGAAAGAAATACAACATAAGTCAGGCACCCAAAACGGTTTCAACTTTTAGGGCAGAAAACTGGATTCCAAATTCAATTTTCTGGTCATGTTTTAATTGTGTTGTAAGTTGAATGAAGGTTTACATATAATTTAAAGTTCCCATATAGCATCTGTGAGGCAAAAAATGTGATGTTGCTGATGGAAAACAGTTTGTTTCCTATTGTAGGCTGGTTCTAGCTACTTATTGGTGGTACGAAAAAATATAGGTACTCCTCATGTAGCTTGATTTTTTCCCGTATGAAATGATCATAAAAATGTGAAGTCAGGGCTTGAAATTCATCAGTTTTGGCATTAGGTGCGCACTGGTTGACCCAACCTAAAATAATTGGGTGCACAAAAAAATTTAAGGTGCACAATATAAGAGAAGTAGAATGTTAATTAGCAACTTGTTATGTTTCATTTCTAAAGAAAACTTCTAAAGAATAATTTTATTATTTTTCAGACACTTTGATGTTAAGAATACTGTATGCTTTATACTACTATACATTTAACATCTTTAGATTATACGTTACCTATTATAATATTTGAGCCTGGTGCACCCTCAGAAAAAAATTGGGTGCACAGCTCCAAATTTGGGTCCACTACTAGTACTCATAATAATAATAAGTTGCACATGCACCCAGTATTTCAGCCCTGTCAAACTGTCAAATATTAGACGATTTCTTTATACAGATTTCTGTTTTGCTACCCTCAAAGTTACATTGGATGCATTTAATATTAAGCAACATGTATCTTAGGCCCTCTTCATACTACTACTCTCATCTGCCAAATAAACATACGGGTACGTTTATTTTTTTGGGCCCGAACATCCACCCAGTACGTTCTTATTTTGCATAGTACGTTTATTAATTTTTTGAAAACCAGTAATTTTTTTCACCTTTGTGAACAAAATTGACAAATCTTCGACGTGAAGACGTTTATAAACGCGTATTGTAGCGAGAAACTTGTCATTTTCGGGCCGGTTTTTGCAATCACCGCGTGCATAAATTCGTCTGAATGTTCTATTGTCATGGGTGGTGCTTATCAAAATACGAAATATTAAATGCTCTTTTTTTGTTTTGTCTATTTAAATTCCTAATTGCAAATAACAGTTAAAGATTTGTGCATATATCAGTAAGGGCGCATTTTAGTACAAGAGACACAGGTTACCCGTCAATTTTGGTAATTTTCCAGGGGGTACGTTTATTCCGGGGGTATGTTTATTTGATTTTGACGATTTGTCCGGGGGGTATGTTTATTCCGGGGGGTATGTTTATTCGGCAGATGAGAGTAGTAGTATAGCCTTGTAAGTCAGATTCAGGTACATTTGTAAGTAGGATTCAGGAGGCCACTTGGACAAGTTGGAGCATTCGAATCCAGACGGGGCCAAATCAATCCTGATTATGTGAACTCAACATTGAATCTCATCATTTGCAAGGCTGAGCTATTTAGAAGATCCTTTCAAATTTATACTATTAAGTTTTTCTTCATCTGATGTCAAAATCCTTGTACAAGTGTAATTATAAATGTATATATACACATGTAATTGTAACACATTTTAAATCTCCAGCATTTGTGCATTAATATTGCGTGAGATGAAAAGTGACCCAACCCACTTTTCATTGATCTCATGTATTGTCGTTGATCTTATAAAATATTAATAATATTGATATCATTTTCGGTGCTGCTGGAAGTAATCTAGATGCTATATATATATATATTTATAATAACATATTCTTTCTCAAGCATTTGTGAGTTGAGATGAAGAGTGACCCAATACATTTTTTATTGATCCCATGTATCTTGTTACATCAATATTATTGTCGTAATTCTGTAAATAATCTAGGCTCTTAGTTAATTCTTCTTCCTGCATAAGTATACAACAACAGCTACATATCATGCAATACTTCAGAGCATAAATGGCATAAATATTAAATACAGTATATCATTAAAGGGACATTGGGTAATATTATGGCCCAAAATATGATTTTTATGAAATAATATTTAATTCAAAAATCTTTGTGTAATTGGAATTTTCTGCAACTATCTCACGTTTCTGACATTTATGGTTGGCGCTATAACAGCCCACACAAGGTGCACTCAGTTTTTGGTGCCACCACAAACTACCAGAATGTAAACAAACATGGCTGACAGCTGTGTTTCCAGCTTTTGAACACATTCATAATTTGGGTGTAATATTTTGGCACCTCCCATGCTTGAATGGTTACTTATTTTCTTCTTGACATCTTGCAATGGTATAGAATTGAATCAACTTTTACAGAAAATGCCCCAAAAAACGTACTGTTTTTACCGTCCTACTGTTACATAATACATAAATAATTTTGAAGGACTCAACAGAGAGCAAAGTTAGAAGTTGTTCCCAGGCAGGCCAGGGCAGGGCCACCTGTAAAAACGGGCTTGTCCTGACATACCTGTTGACGTGGCAGGTGTACAAGGCGTACAGGTGATCGTTCTCTACATCCTCAGTCATCCTGAGCTCCTCCTCTTCTCTATCCTACTGTTTTAGCTTTATCTACAAGTCTAGTCGTGAAAAATCAGATCAGAATTTCGGTAAAATTTGGTTCGGTGAAAAACTTGACCAAGAGTTCCGGGTTCAACTCTCACCTCTGACCTACAGGTCACATTCCTCCTACGCATGCGCCGTTACGTGTGATCATAATATCGAGCAGAAATTTTCTCCCCAGGCTTTTGTTTAGGCCTGCTTTTTTTTCTCGATTTATGCAGAAATATAGCAGTTTCTGCGCCCGTGGGAGTTGGGTTTGGTTTGAGGAGCAGTTGTGACTGAGTCGGAGCCCCAGCGGGAGTCGGAGTCGTGACAGGACGTGGTGCAGGCGTGGGCGAGCACCGCGGATCGGATCTCATTTTTCGCCGGCGGAGGTTTGCAGTGTTGATGGCCGAGACCGCGGCTTGTGAGCTCCCCGTCCTCTCGGGCTGAACCCCGCCGCCCTGCAGACATGCACGCCCGGCTGGAGCACGCCCCCGTGGCCCGCAGTGACTCCACCATCCACACGCTGTCCTGGAACGGCATCATCCCGGCCAGTGAGCGGGAGAAGTCGGTAGCGCGGCGGAGGTGAGTGCGCTCCTCTATCCGGTCTGTAGGTCCAGCTGGGCCACCAGAAAATTATTATACCGACCGTCATCTGTCGTCTTCAGAACAACTAGATCACAAATTCTACCAAATCTATACCAAATCTTCTCAGTCTTAAGTAATCCGCATTCTTTCCATAAACCTAAATAATAAAGCGTTATCGATATAACCATAAAGGGCGCTACAGGAAGGGTGGAAGATGTTGTTGTTTTTATTGACGTCGTCTGCAATGCAAATGACAATATGGCCGACTGTCTATGATTTCCGTACAAGATCAGGACGATATCAGTACACGGCGTGGGTGTTCCTTCTTGTCCGACATGCCTGACTGTAACACGCAGGGAGGTTCAATCGCATCAATATCGATCTAAACCGTCCGGGACCGGGAAATGTGGGGGAAATTGCTCTTGACTCTGGATTTACACTGGCAGTGAATGTTAAGTGCTGCACCATTCACGTATATATTTTACTGTTAAAGGAGCATTGTGTAACATTTTCGCAGCAAAAAAAAAATATTTCAATGAAAAGAAATAATTCTCATTTGATTGTCATTACTTCCACGTTTTGACGTATTTTGTGCTAATATTTCATGTTTCTGACATTTATGGCTCTCACGACTCACACTCATTTTATGGCACCACCTGAAAATACCAGAATGTAAACAAACATGACTGACAGCTGTGTTTCCAGCTTTTAATTTAAATACACCAACAGTCCCATGGTGTAATATTTTTATGCTTTTGTAACCATGTAACTAGTGATGTACCATATTCTAGAACATCAATGTAATATGTATAACCAACATCAATGTGTGCCACTGTGATCTATTGTGTCACAATACAAGCAATTGCTATCTTTGTTTGTTACATCATACACATGCAAATTAACAGTAGACAAATCAACCAATTGTTACCCACTTTGTACCACTCACTGGCTGGGACATCTTGGCGATCGCTAGTACTTGTATGAATTTAAGGTCATTCTCAGCCTTCTGCAAGCTATTAATACAATAATAGTATTGTCAGGGCTCAAAATTCATTTTTGGGAATAGATGCACTGGTGAACCCAACCTGAAAAATTACTCTCATGTCCCTAATAAACATACCCCCCGGAATAAACATACCCCCCGGACAAATCTTCAAAGTCTAATAAACATACCCTCCGGAATAAACGTACCCCCCGGAAAATGACCAAATTGACAGGTGAACTGTGTGTCCATGATACTAAAATGTGCTCTTTATTTCAATACCAATATATGGGCTAATCTTTCACTGTTACATTTAATTAGTGAGTATATATCACTTTAATTAATGAGTATATATATATATATATATTGTACTTGTTTTGGGGAAATACAAAATCCGTAGGAGAAGCTATTGCATTTTACACTTCTGAAATGCACTGTGCTAAGCCTTCTCCTGCAACTTGAGTTGAAAATCTGACTAACTTAAGAGATAGAAAATCAAGCCCAATTAAGTACAAATATAGGGGTTTAATGAGTATATGTACAACAAAATCCATTTCAACATAATAATTATTTGGTATGGTACATTGTCTAGTCTGGTCAAAGTCTGGATTCTGAAGAAGAAAAACTTCTGAAGAAAAAAACTTTTGAAGAAAAAAAATATTATTCAGCATAAAATTTTGATTGGTTTCCATCTCATTGTTTTTTTAAAAATCGATAATGTGATTGTATCAATTTTAAACGCCCTAAAATTAGCTAAATCGGCGCTTTTACGGTGATTGCGCAATATGGGTGCCCTATGACCTTTGACTTTTTACGGGTCATGCTGCTCAGGCGCTAGGCGCCCTCCCCACGTCGGCCGTCCGTCTTGTGGGCAAATTTCTACTTTTTTAGGGGTTTCGGGACCTAAAAACTAACACCAGAGGGAAAATAAACCACATACGTTTTTTTCATGGTAAATATCGCTAAAATGGACCAGGCATTTTTCTGCCGCGTTGCCGATTTTGACAAGGACTTGCGGCCGCCGTGTGCTAAATACGTCGATTAGCTACTCGCCTTCCCCTTCGGTTTTGTGGGCAAATTTTTGCTTTTTCAGACGTTTTGGGACTTAAAAATGGACAGCAGGCGAAAATAAATAATATACATTATATTCATGGGAAATGCCGCTATCATGGACCAAATATTTATCTGTGACGTGTTGCCGAATTTTGCGGCCGCCGGCCACTTGCTGATGGTGCGGTACGTATGGACATTTTTTTCCCAAAAATTATAAACGTACCGTCCCTAATAAGAGTGTACCGGGTGGACGTTCGGGCCGAAAAAAATAAACGTACCGGTACGTTTAATCGGGACATCAGAGTAGGTGCACAAAAAAATTTTGGGGTGCACCATACAAAACCTAATTATCGATCTTACTGTTCCTCTTCTAACTTATCTAAGCTCGAATCTGAAATGGGAGCTAACTTCAAAATCTTACACAAGTACTACAACAAAGATTTTATTATTTTTCTGACCCTTTCATGCCAAGAATATACTACAGTACTATTATACATTTAATATGTACAAAAATATCTACAAAAATATCTGGGTGCATTGGTGCACCCACAGAAAAAAATTGGGAGCACAGCTCCAAATTTAGGTGCACTTAGATGCACATGCACCCAGTATTTCTAGTCCTGATTATGAAATCATAATTGATTTCATAATTGCAAAAAAAGTCATTGTCTGAAAGTGTATTATTTACTTCAACTTCCTCAATGTTTTGTCAACACTAGAATCACGATATGAAGAGGATGTTTCCCCTTCATGTTTTGAAAACAGTGTTGACAAAACTGAGTTGATAGATCACCTGGTGACTTTAATCCTTGTTACCTGGGGTCAAATTACTGGTGATGTTTTGAGTAACGATACCCTACCTGACAGAATTTGGCAGTTAATTTGTCATATTCATATCATATTACATTCTTATGACAAATGTAATACTGACAAATGTGTTATAATAACATATATGTTGTCTGGGGCTGTTACTGACCTTTGTATGTGTAGGATACATGCAGACAAAACCGTACCAGACGTACACACGCTGACGCCTGTTTACATTTTTTGTTACCACAAGAGTATTTATCCTTCTGTCAACATTACAAGAAAAGTGACATTTAAACAGCAGTCATTTTAAGTGACATAAGATCTGTTTTTAAGCCAGCTTGAAATTTTTTCAATTTCCCTTCCTCATCTAAAAAGGTGCGAGGTGCTGCCCTTGAAATCTTGACTTAAAACCAGTGTTCTAAGCTTCTAGCCAGACTTTTTTTAGCATAGGTGCCCCCTATGCTATGATTTTGACCCCTATGCTATAATTTTGACCCCTATGCCTAAGTTTCAACCAGCATAGGGGAAAGTTACTTTAATTTGGAAACAAAATTTGTTGCACATTAAACAAGAAATAGTGTCTCGGGGTTATGAGTTTCAAAATTTTTCGGCTCAATGCGTGATTTGCGCCGAGAAAGTTGCTCTTCTGTTACCTGACCCCTAATATGCTGTGAAAAAATCCTGGCTAGGACACTCAGCTTAAAACTCTACTATTTCCTTATTTTGAGGGGTAAATTTGCTTATTTTAATGTCATTATTATTATGACATCTCTTTGAAATTGAAGTTTCTAAACCTTAACCCGCCAATTTCTGTGTGTCAAAGAGACTCGAGTTGGCAAAATTTTCAGGAGCAGCAAAATTCTGTCAAATAATGGAAACACGGACCATGGTTAGAAAATTACTAAGACTTAGTAGTTAGTAAGACTTCCTTCTGCAGGGCTCGAAATTCATTTGTGGGAATGGGTGCAGTAAAATGTCAGTAAAAAACATATGTTTCTTTCTAAAGAAAAGTAGAATAAGAATGGTTTTATCATTTTTCTGACACTAAGATGTATAGTAGTATACAGCATCTTCTTGAATGATCTAACATGATCTTTACATATGTGACCAAAATATTTGGGTGTACTGAAAAAAAATTGTGTGCACAGCTCTATATTTGGGTGCACTAAGGTGCACATGCACCCAGTATTTCCAGCCCTGTTGTCTCTTGACAGAATGGGGCTCGAAATATACTGGGTGCATGTGCACCGTAGTGCACCCAAATATAGAGCTGTGCACACAATTTTTTTTTCAGTACACCCAAATATTTTGTTGTGCACCTAATTTTTTTCTGTGGGTGCACTGGTGCACCCAAAATATTTTTGTAGGAATTTTTAACATTGGAAATGTATTATAGTATACCGGATATTCTTGGTCTCTAAGTATCAGAAAAGTAAGAAAATCTTTGTTGTAGTACTTTTAAGTACTACAACATTAAAATGTTTAAGATTTTGATTCAAGCTCAGAAGTGGAGCAGTAAGACCTGCAATTAGATTTTGTTTCATATGGTGCACCCAAATTTTTTTTTGTGTACCTAATTTTTTAGGTTGGGTGCACCAGTGTACCTATTCCCAAAATGAATTTCGAGCCCTGGACAAGAAAGTTGACCTTTAAGAAGCGGTCATGTTGGAGTGCCATATTGAGTGGGATCCTGACCTGTGTAGCCATGTCTGTGGAGAATGACGCAGGCCTGCTGACGTCAAAAGAACAAGTTTATCTTGGCCACAGCTCAACATGAAACGGCTTCCAACTAAAGACAGCAGCCTTAAAGATCCTTAACTTTAAGAGCGTACGACTGTGAACATACGTCAAGTGCCGTTATGGCACAGTGTAGCAAGACAAATGTAGACATCTGTGTCTTTTGTATTCTTTAGTGTTTTCTGCTGACGTCTGTTGCAATATTCCCAAATGACCTTGGGTATTCATCTGTGGCACAGGGAGAAGGTTAGGCAGGGCTTGAGTTCAAATATGCACCACCAGTATATACAGATAAGTGCAGGTAAAATTGGAGCAGTGCAGGTATTTCTGATGTCTACCTGCACCTAACCTGCACTGGTCCATGTACTGGGTATATGCAGGTTAGTGCAGGTAAAATTGGAGCTGTGCAGGTATT